GGCAGATCAGGTTTACAATGGATAAACTTCTAAAAGACCCCTCTCACCCGCAGAGGGGTAGAGGGAATGGTGTGTTTTCTTTTTTTACACCTCACACCCTGTCGTAAATTTTATGCAGGAGAAGAGTCTCTCCCGACCCTCCAGTATTGGCCAAAGGAATGCTTTGTCTCCAGATATTTTTTCCCGCCCAAAACACTAACGTCCAAAAAGTGAATACCGGAAAAATATTCCTAACAGAAGAACGTGGGGAATGGTCAGTGGGGATCTAAAGAGTGATCATGTAATATGGGTTGTTATTTTGTGATGTCATTAAAACTACTATCAAGAAAATACTGTAACTTGAAAAGTATACACACTATATGTCAAGTTTTCATATTTTATGTTGTATATGAAATATGAAGAATGATGCAAGTATTTTTGTTAAGATAGGAATGTGATTTTAGTTTTCTAACAAGATGCTTTGGACAAGTAATTAGCCACGCCCCGAGGGAGCTCAGAGAGCGTGTCCGCATGACGGAACGGCCCTTTTAACCAGAGTGTATAAAAGGATGAGTTAAGAATGAACATATTAGACCAGAAGGCCTCAAGCTGCAGCTTAGGTCTCCATTGGTTACGACACTGAAAATCAAAACGAGGTGAAGACGACAAAGTCGCCTCTCTAACAATCAATGTTACGGCTGAGTAGCTGTTCTAAGTACTGTATCTAAGAAAGTGAATTTAAGTAGGACCATTCTGTTACTCTTCAAACCATCGTCTACTACACTGCTCTCATCACCCCACTGAGGATCATCGACACGGCTGATTAGCTGTCTTCAGAGGACCACTCTTCCAGAACAAGTGAAAGGGAACACCACCCTGTTGGTTTTTGCCCAGACTACATGACCAGTCATTGAAGCCATGGACAACTAAGAAGAAGGACATTGTGACCTCTTGTGGACAATCAGAGCCCTACACTCAAAGTTTGGAGGAGAAAGCCAACTTAACCCCTTTCCGAGAAGGCTTAGGTCCAACAGAGATAAACGACGAAGGAATATATTCAAACACGTAAATACATTCATGATTTCTTACTCCAAACGGACGGCAGTTCGGGTGCAAAGTATTATAATTACTATGAGTGTAGTTTCCAAATGTATAAGTGTTGTGTCTCTCTTTCTTTCTTTCTCTCTACTCCTCACTCTTTTGGTAAACAAGCAGTCATGTTGTTGTTAGTCCGCTAAGGACCTGTTTCCATCGTATTAAGTTTATACTCAATAACCTATACCGTGTGTGTGTGTATCCTGTGTTGTCATTTAGTTAGTTAGTAAACAAATAATTAAATCAATTTGTGTGGTACGAAATGATCAGTAAAGCTGGGGTTGCAAGGAGTATGCAACGTTCAGAATGACATGATTAATAAGTGGCTGTTATTGACGTAATAGATATCTATATATCTTCTAGAGTTTAATTCGGGAGCTGGTAAGTCTTTAAACAACTTATTTCGTGGTGCCCCAAATCCTAATGAGTTAATTGTTATATGATTCATTTAATCGGGTAACAATTAAACATAGTTAGTTAATTAGAGAAATAACAGTCATCAGATTAATGTTAAGTCACGTCACAACATTCATTTTCCCCCTCATCAATCTACACACAATACCCCATAATGACAAAGCGAAAACAGGTTTTTAAAACGTTTTTCAAATGTATAAAAAATTAAATAACAAAATCTGGAAAAAGTCAAGGGGTCTGAATATTTTCAGAATGCACCGTAGCTAGCATTCTTTGATAACTGGTTAGCTGGTGTTATGTACTTCCAAAGCTTTGGTTTACTTTAATATAGCTATAAGCTAGGTGATGATAGCAACTGGGTGACTCATTCAGTGCTAACGTAACGTTACCAGGCTGGTAGGGATAACGTTAGCAGGTTAGTAGGGATAACATTAGCAGGTTAGTAGGGATTACGTTAGCAGGTTAGTAGGGCTAACACTAACAGGCTAGTTGGCTAGCAACCTTGCAAGTTGATTTGTAACAATAAATTCAGCATTTTCTTGTAAGTTGGCTGAAAATTAAATTGAAACCAGTAGTCATGAGTGCAAATGATTTGGTTTAATTTAAAGTTATACATTTGAAGTTATTTATATTGGAGTTTACATTATAGGGAATGGGCTGGCTTGCCAGGTCCTCCATATTACATCACACCCCGGAAAAACATTTTCCAACATGACTTTGGCATTCTGATCAGTTTTATGCAATAACTTGAAAAATAGAAAAGTGAGGTATAACTTTTCATTGGGACTTTTGATGCGTATACTAATGGAAATCTATATGTTACATTTACGCTACTTACCCTTTAAAAGTCATTCAATACTAAGACTACCTGGGGCTTCATTATGTGAAGATTCTGGATGGCGGCAATTAACAGGATTTTAAGTAATGTGGTTCTGCAGGAGAATGGTGATGTTCCAGCTTCTCTGATCTCACAGATTGGCCTCAGACCAGGATAAGACTAACACAGCTATGTAGTCATGGAGCGGAGAGCTGAGGATAGCCAAAGTGTCATGAATAAAATATTACACCTAAACAGGAGTGGTGGGGGTCTCTAATAGATTCAAATTTATAAGGCATAAAAATAGAATACAAGTTAAAAACCTATAATCCTTTAAATTCTGCTTGGCATGTATCGTTCTAAGAAACAAGAGAGGTGATGGCTAATGTGAAAACCTGGCAGTATTATTATTGGTACTTATAGATTCATAATTTAGAAGGCTAGATTATGCATTGAACTCCAGGCTCCTAATTAAGGGCCAGAAAATGACCTAGATTAAGCTATGTTCCATGGTTTTAAAGAGACCGATGAAAATCAGTAGAAGAAACCACAATCCTTAAGGACTAGAGTTGAACACCTCTGGTCTAAATGACTGGCCTGCAGCCAGCCTCAGCAGCCAAACAGTTTGAACAGCTCAACTGATTCCAAGAGGAACAATTGCACTGTGGTCAATGCAGAAATGCTACAGGTTCAAACTAGTGCTGCCATCAAATTCCTCAGACACAGTTTTATATTGGGCCCACTCACCTGTAAAGCAGGTTGCGTTGAAGGAATGTAGAGACAACTGGGAGAGGATGACTGGCAGTTATGAGGAGGCTGTGAAATAGAGCACATTGATGTCAAGTCAGGTGCTGGAATTCATCAGATTCTATTTCTGATGGCACTAACCTCGTCCCCAGGTTCGAATTGCTGGCGCCTAGAGCCTGGTAACACTGTGCTACAAAGAAGGACTTGAAAGGGGTGTGGTTAAAATTGAGTCTGGAGAGGGAGTGAGCCTGCTACAGATGGCGAAAATGGGCAATCAAAATAAATGTTCTATCACATATTATTTTTGGGAAGCCCAATTGATTCTGAGTTCGGGCATATAGTTTATATGTGAGAACTATTTCTAAGATGCATACTTTCCCATAACTAACTTCCTTGTTTAAATCAGTTGCCCTGCTCGTGCTTTGAAGTCCACAATGTATGGGGGGGGGGGGGGGGGGGGGTTCTACGGGTTGCACTGGATGGTGATGGACTGAGATCAGCCAATTAAAACCGGTAGGTTGGGCGAGACTATGATGGCACTAATATCACCTCCATTTATCACCTCCACACTGGAACCCTGTTAGCTGTTGCACTGTTCCAAATGGATTCCAGCCCCAACTGATTCTATGGCAATAATAACTGAACACAATTTGTCTTACATCAAATAGTGCAACTTTAATCTGCACTGAGGGACTCAAGTTCTGTAGCCACCTGTCGGAAGACGACACTGATCATCAATTGCATGAATTCAATAAAAAAAAGGTTTAGCCTCAACAATGCATTTTATCTTCTTTAGGTCAAGTTCCACTCTGAACCCTATGATAAAAACACTAAAGACTAAATGGCTCTCCTCCAGCAACAGTTACAGCTACCTCAGGGGCACACAAAATAAATGCCGGCTCATCTTTATTTACAATTCCACTTAAGATGATGTTTCCTCTGCTAATACAGCAGCTTTTATTACTTCTGGCACCCCTTGCCTACACGCACTACTCAATTAGGGGACACCTTGAGGTCATTATGGAATAATTACTCATTTGTTATTGATGCCAAATGTGCTTTTGGCATGGGAACCGCTGTCTATTAGTGCAGTGCAAGTGCAGTAGAGCCGTGCCAGCAATTCCCATGCCGACATCCCATGTAGTGGATCCTCTTTGCTTCCTGTCTCCAACTTTTAAAATGCCCATTTAGCACTCCCATTCTGATCATCAATTTAAAGCAGAGGTCATCTGATGTGTAATTACTGGAAGACTTTAAGGGGTTGATGTCATCTCCTGCATCCCAAATGGCACCCTATTCCCTATATAGTGCACTACTTTTGACCAGGGTCCATAGGACTCTGGTCAAAAGTTGTGCACTATGTAGGGAATAAGATGCCATTTGGGACACCACCTTTCTCTTTTCGAAACACATGACCATCTGGGGCTTGATGGCAACAGTCATAAAGGACTAGACCACAAGTCGACAGACTTCTACAACTTTGTTTGCTAATGTGTTTTAATGCATAAGTGAGGGGATGGGGGCATGTATTTCACTAATGGACTAAATTAAGAATGACAGACCAGCAAAGACATTACATTTATGGTATTTTTTTCTGGCAGAAACCTAGTTATTACATTTGCTGTCCACATGCAATCTTCATCTGTCCTTTAATATCTGTAAAAAATAAAATATGATTAAATTCATACTCGATCTTGGGAGTTTAGATTTAATTGTAGCAGGGTACACAGCAACAAAGAAAACTGGTAGGGAGATTGACAAATCATTATACTTCAGACAGATAAACTTTTTAACAGTACAAAAATAAAGATTCTATATTTTTACCACAAAAGCAATTGTGACAAATTACTGAGTCAAACAGTAAAGAAAGCATTGAAATAAACTAGAGAGAATATATATTGCCTCTATTCATGTTTATGGCATATTCAACTTTATACTTAAGGTATCTAAATTACACTGTATACTACAGAAATATTAACTTGTTAGTCCAGTGATATGGCTCTATGGGTAACTGCAGTTAAACTAATTTGCCATTGAAAAGGCAGTAAACATCTAAAAACAGGAACGTGCTTTACAATAGCCCAAATGGTATCAACTGCCCCAAAAATAAAAATTATTATTGACTTTTAAATACAAGGTTATCTGTGCATATGAGAAAATTTTCAAAACAATCGTAGGTTATAGTATGCCTTGTCATTAGAAAAAGTTGTAGGGAGTAATCATGTAACGAATCATAGCATACATTCTTGCTCACACAAAAACAATAATGTTAGCGAGAAACAAAGTGTACTGGTTGGGATATTGTGTAAGCTAGGGGGAACAAAAAAATAAATAAAATCACACTTACATTTGCCATACAAAAACAAATATTTTTAACAGGTAGAATGAAAGTGGCTTAGCAGTCTTGAGCACCGAAGACATACTGGGTTTATATTTGCACTTGGGTGAGAGATAGCCACATCAAATTTCAAAACAACATATTTACCATATTAGCAGTGAATATATAAAATTGGGAGAGCATCCATGTGAACATTACACAAACAATCCTTATTTCAACATAAATAACAAGATTAAATCAAACTCATAATATCCCTTCTCTCTAACAGATCATTTTGATAAGCATTTATTACACTTAGGTTTAAAACTAGGATGTCTAATGTAGGAATAATAACTCATTTATCAGCATATTTGTTCAAAACCTAAATGAGATATTACACATTCCTGAACAGAAAACAAAACAATGACACAGAAGAATAACAGGATGAAATAAGAAATTACAGATACCATACCAGGAATTTAGTACAAAAGAAAAACTTTTTTCCAACAATAACACATTACATATCATCTCAACATAAAAAATGTTCTATGTAAAAACACAAATCAATAAGCAAACACATGCTTGTTCACAAAAACAAAACTGTCATTATACTCAATCCTCAAGACTGCTAAACCAATACCATTTTATTGCAAAAAAACGAGACAAAATAGATTATACTACATCTTGTTCAAAGACACAGCGATACTTTTAAATAAAATAAAAAATAAACGTATATACGAGAGTGTATCCCAAAATTGCCCGGTTAAATATCAGTTTTTAGGTTAAGTTATTCTACAGCGAGTGCATTACAAAAAGGAAAGGTACGCCGCAAAGTGTTGAAAATATACTTTAGAAACCTCAATAGTACTGTTAATAGTTCTCTTTTCGTCTCAATGATTCCAAAATCATAATTAGATGGTGTCCACTCTAATGCTCCTGGAAGATATTACAAAAAGGAAAATGTTATGTAGTTTACCATGTATGCAACAGCACATCCCAATACACACATGCATGTAAACCTTTCAAGACTTAGCAGTAATAGTTTTAACATACGCTGAGTGTACAAAACATTAAGAACATCTATGATCCCTTATTGATGTCACTTGTTAAATCCACTTCAATCAGTGTGGATGAAGGAGAGGAGTCAGGTTAAAGAAGGATTTTTAAGCCTTGAGACAATGAGACATGGATTGTGTATGTGTATCATTCAGAGGGTGAATGGGCAAGACAAAAGATTTAAGTGCCTTTGAAAGGGGTATGGTAGTAGGTGCCAGGCACACCAGTTTGTATCAAGAACTGCAACGTTGCTGGGTTTTTCATGCTTAACAGTTTCCCGTTTGTATCAATAACGGTCCACCACCCAAAAGACATCCAGCCAAATTGATACATCTGTGGGAAGCATTGGAGTCAACATGGGCCAGCTTCTCTGTGGAACGCTTTCGACACCTTGTTGGTCGTAAATCTACGGTTTCTAATTTTATCTTTACTGCCCAACGAATTGAGGCTGTTCTGAGGGCAAAAGGGAGGAGGGGGTGCAACTCAATATTAGGAAGGTGTTCTTAATGTTTTGTACACTCAGTGTATATAAAAAGAGGGCTGTTTAGCGGCAGAGCTATTCATAGGCCAGCACTTCTAAGAGGCAGAGAGAGCTGTCTTGAGGCAGAAACAGAGCTGTTTGAAGGCAGAGACAGAGCTGTTTTGAGGCAGCTGTTTAGAGGCAGAAACAGAGCTGATTAGAGACATAAGTTTAGAGGCAGAGTTGTTTAGAGCCAGAGACAGAGCTGTTTAGAGACAGAGCTTGTTTAAAGACATAGAGAGCTGTATAGAGGCAGAAATAGAGAGAGCTGTTTAGAGCCATTGTGAGTATAAGTTTAGCAGTGTTGTACATTACCTGAAGACCTGGGCCCTGGGTTGCCTGTGCACCCGGCCAGAGGTACGCTCCCTGCTGCCTGTAATATTCTGCCATAGCTGCACTGTATTCTGGGAGTGAGCTCTGCTGCTGAGATGTCTGACCTTTTGGGACACAAGCGTATACACATTGTGAGAAAACAGAATCCAATATCGCTATCACAATCGAAATTGCACTCTTGACTATGTCTAAAGACAACTGACAAAATGAATGAGACTACTCTGTTTCTTATAACAATCCTCCCATGCGTTGCTGTAGTCATGGACAATACTCTGAGCTTGGGTCTTTTGGTCTGCAAACACAGAATGGGCCATTACACAACGGTGGACATGGAGAATTATAATCATTGCGTTATCTGCAATGTCAACTACTGGGAATATACTGCGCCAAATGCTGAACCTCAAGCTTTGCTGCAGTGGCACTAAACGTATGGCAAAACTCAGAATATTGCAATTGTTCAAAAAGTCATGTGGGTATGACAGGGTTTGTACTGCCTCAGAACACTTGCCTAGCTTTTTATAATACTGCTCCCATGCTTTAGAGTAGTCCATCTGGCCTGCCTGGGATCCATTGTGACCTGTACCCAAATAAAAGAACATTGCATTAAATATACAACAAAAACTTTTAAATTTTCCTAACTAAAAGCCTTTCTGGCAATTTCCTGACAAATTGTATGTGTTATTTGTAGCACATTTCTGTTTCCCCAACATCATTGGTTCGATTCCAGGCTGTATCACAACCGGACGTGATTGGGAGTCCCATAGGGCGGCGCACAATTGACCCATCGTCGTCCGGGTTTGGCCGGTGAGGCCGTCATTGTAAATAAGAATTTGTTCTTAACTGACTTGCCTAGTTAAATATAGGTAAAATATATATATATAAAAAAAGCCATGGTAGACTCCCCTTTCAATTGGCTTAGAAGCAAAATAGATGAGTGGATGAAAGCTAATGTGTACCTTCTACACCTGGTTCATTGTAGGGCTGCATGAATAATCCAATTTAGATTGAAATTGTGATATTGACATGTGCAATATCCATATCGCAAGATATTATTAAATGCACTCAGCCGCGTGCAACATCTGTTTTTATAGTTTACTCGTTGTTAATAATAATAATAATAATAATAATAATAATGCCATTTAGCAGACGCTTTTATCCAAAGCGACTTACAGTCATGCGTGCATACATTTATGTGTATGGGTGGTCCCGGGGATCGAACCCACTACCTTGGCGTTACAAGCACCATGCTCTACCAGCTGAGCTACAGAGGACCACTTGTTACTTAGGATGTTTTTAGATGATCGAGCAGTCTCTCTCTTGGTCCTCCTGCACCCACTTCCAACACACACCAAGCCCCTCCGCCCCCCGGTCACTCAAGCAGGTAGTGCAGAACCTGACTGTTCAAAATTTGATTCACAATGTCTGCATGATGTCCTTATATTAATGTATGCGGTACAGCAAACAGATTTTTCCAATGTTGGTGAAAACAATGCATCTACATGTTTTCTACTATTAGTTTGTGTATCTTATATCCCTTTCCTACCCAGAAAAAATCCTGCCAAACTTTACCATACCGTCTTCTTTATACTGCCTTATCTTTATATCTGAAAGGTGAAGTCTGGAACAATCCGCAAACAGACCTAGACATGATTATGGTGCTAATATGTTTAAATGTTCCGTCATATGGCTCTGTGTAAATCGAGCTGTAAAAACATTTCCAGGCTTTGGGACGATGCTCACTTGTCAACCAATCACAAAGCTTCACAGTAATGCTTTGGCATTTATTCTCTCCATTTGTTTATCGCTTGATAATTTCACCAGTCATTTCCCCCAGTAACATAATTAAACAATAATGGATTTCTTTGTGATTGTGTACATTCAATGGATTTATTAAAATGGACGCCCACCCACATCTGCACACGGTGATGTATAAAAGGCATATGCCTGCAAGAAAGTGGTAAAAATGGGACTGTTCGAAAGGGGGTCATATAAACATTGGCCAAATTATTTTACAGGTAAGATATCGTCAATTCTGTCTGAAATAGGTATTACTCTCTGCAAAGAGCTTGTTAGTTTAGTTAGTATTTTCTTAGCAAGCTGTATCTAGTCGCTAATGCTAATTACACTGAGCTAAAGCAATACGGCTAGCTCACAAACGTTAGCTAGCAAATACAGACTGGTACCAGTGGTGGTGTAGATCAGAATGTTTGAGCAACGGCATGTTCTGAATGAAATAACTAAAATGTGAATAAAACAACCTAAAGGAAATGTGTGTGCTTTCTTGTCTTGAAGTACTGTTGTGAAATAAGTTGTCATGGGGTTTAAAAAGCTCTGTAGTAGTAGTAATGTTGGTAGGCTAATGACTGCAGTAAAGTACCGGTAAGTAAAAATCGGAAGTCTTAATAGAAATAGCAATATTTGGTGAAAATATTGAAATTAGATTGTTTTGTCGAAATCGTGCAGTCCTAGTTCATTCCCACCTAAATAAGTTTAAGTCCAATGACTGGATGGTGTTTATCACTAGCCACACCAACTGGGTCAGAAACGGCTAAACATGAACCCATCTCTCCTGTCCTAATCACGCCTTACTATGCTCCGGAGTCAGGTTTCCCCTAGGTACAGATCTAGGATCAGCTTCCCCTCCCCCAAACATAACCATTAGTAGGGGCAATGCAAATCTGATCCAAGATCAGCATCTAGGGTTAATTTCAACACTACTACTTCACCGATTACTGAGCACCCCGAGATTATGAAAGGACACCGTTATCCTGGACACATCACTCTGACAAGCTGCTTGTATGCATTTATGAGCCTTAACTTACATTTGAGAGATATTTGTAAGACACTGAAATGAGCAAAATGTTGCAAAGTCCATCTTCATATGTCTATTTCATATACAGTGCATTCGAAAAGTATTCAGACCCCTTGACTTTTTACACATTTTGTTATGTTTCAGCCTTATTCTAAAATGGATGAAATACATTTTTCCCCCTCATCAATCTAAACACAATACCCCATAATGGCAAAGCAAAAACAGGTTTTTAGACATAATTAAAAATATAAAAACGGAAATTTCACATTTACATAAGTATTCAGACCCTTTACTCAGTACTTTGTTGAAGCACCTTTGGCAGCGAATACAGCCTCGATTATTCTTGGGTATGACGCTACAAGCTTGGCACACCTGTATTTGGGGAGTTTCTCCCATTCTTCTCCGCAGATCCTCTCAAGCTCTGTCAGGTTGGATGGGGAGCGTCGCTGCATAGCTATTTTCAGGATTCTCCAGAGATGTTCAATCAGGTTCAAGTCCGGGCTCTGGCTGGGCCACTCAAGGACATTCAGAGACTTGTCCCGAAGCTACTCCTGCGTTGTCTTGGCTGTGTGCTTAGGGTTGTTGCCCTATTGAAAGGTGAACCTTCGCCCCAGTCTGAGGTTCTGAGCGCTCTGGAGAAGGTTTTCATCAAGGGTCTCTCAATACTTTGCTCTGTTCATCTTTCCCTTGACTAGTCTCCCAGTCCCTGCCGCTGAAAAACATCCCCACAACATGATGCTGCCACCACCATGCTTCACCGTAGGGATGGTGCCAGGTTTCCTCCAGACGTGACGCTTGGCATTCAGGCGAAAGAGTTCCATCTTGGTTTCATCAGACCAGAGAATCTTGTTTCTCATGGTCTGAGTCCTTTAGGTGCCTTTTGGCAAACTCCAAGCGGGCTGTCATGTGCCTTTTACTGAGGAGTGGCTTCCGTCTGGCCACTCTACCATAAAGTCTTGATTGGTGGAGTGCTACAGAGATGACTGTCCTTCTGGAAGGTTCTTCCATCTCCACAGAGGAACTCTGGAGCTCTGTCAGAGTGACAATCAGGTTCTTGGTCACCTCCCTGACCAAGGCCCTTCTTCCATGATTGCTTAGTTTGGCCGAGTGGCCAGCTCTAGGAAGAGTCTTGGTGGTTCCAAACTTCTTCCATTTAAGAATGGAGGCCACTGTGTTCTTGGGGACCTTCGATGCTGCAGACATTCTTTGGTACCCTTCCCCAGATCTGTGCCTCGACATAATCCTGTCTCGGAGCTCTACGGACAATTCCTTCGACCTCATGGCTCGGTTTTTGCTCTGACATGCACTGTCAACTGTGGGACTTTATATAGACAAGTGTGTGCCTTTCCAAATCATGTCCAATCAATTGAATTTACCACAGGTGGACTCCAATCAAGTTGTAGAAACATCTCAAGGATGATCAATGGAAACAGGATGCACCTGAGCTCAATTTCGAGTCTCATAGCAAAGGGTCTGAATACTTATGTAAATAAGTTTATTTTAATTTTATTATTATTAATTTACAAAAATGTCTAAAAACCAGTATTGTGTGTAGATTGATGAGAAAATGTTTTATTTAATCAATTTTAGAATAAGGCTGTAACAAAATGTGGAAAAAGGGAAGGGGTCTGAATACTTTCCGAATGCACTGTAAACACAGTGTAAAATTGTTTCAAAACAATGTTTAAGCTGAGGAAATATCAATATTAAGATATTGCTGCAGAGTTTTAGCCAAGTACAACCAGCTTGATCGTTGTGTTGACCATTCTGTTTCAGTTGTGAACACAGAGATCAGGCTGGTTCCACCAGGCTAGCAGAGTTTATGTTAATTGCAAAATACAAGACTGCAAATGACAAGGTTGCCAAATGTTTACGAGCTGTGCTTAAGACAAGCTGTAGCGCTAAGGTGACTTACTGTGGTCTTGCTGGCCTTGAGGCTGCCATGTTTGATAGGCAGTCCCCCATCCCCCTGTCATTAAAGTCTGGGCTCCACTGCCACAACTGATCAAGACAGAGAGCAGACAGAACTACAGCAACACAAAGAAAATGCATATAGTAGACAAAAAACAACAGGGTCGAACAGAAAGTGTGACTTACTTTTGATGAGTTGCAGGGCTTTGAGTGTAAGGGCTAAACCCAAAACTACCATTGCTCACTATTCCTGAGCCCTGAAAAAAACAGACATTCAACAGTGTTAACTAGAGCAAATAACGACAGGTTGAATTAATTTCAATCATGGTGGTATTTATTTAGTCGACTAACTGTTAATAATGAAAAATTGTAAAAATTGCAAGCAATTTGCCTAGGTAGCCTTGCCTAGCTACCCAAACGCGTTGCTCCGGCCAAACGCTACGCCACGCCCACGGACGTTAGTTTCTTCTCCGCAATGAGTCTGGATCTAAGTACTTCCAGAATGATTGGTCCCAGAAACCGATGGGTTGGGCCAGAGCAAGAACACAAAGCGGAATGGAATTGAAGGATGGGACTAATAACAACTAAAAACAAACAATAACAAGATAACTAATAATATAGGCACGCTGTGTCCATAATAAGTGTATGGGTTGTAGGTTGGGAGCTTTTGTGAAGGAGCACAGTTAGAAAGATATGGCATATAGAAGCAAACCGGATGGACATAGAAGAAGTTCAGGAGAAAGAACAAACAAAATGTAATTATTGTAAAATTGACTGTGTCCATAAAATGTAGATAGTGGGTATGGGCTGGAAGTAGAGGCCTAGGCATTGTTGTTCACTAGTTTACTCCAAGTGGGGAAAGGGTGGCGGGGTTGGAAAGTAATATATATATATATAAATAAATAAAAACATATGGGGGATTGGAAGTGATGCAGACAATTACATTGATGGAAGTTACAATCTATCTGCAATATTAAGCTGATCCACCCCCCAAAAAAGATAAAATAATAATAACAATAAAAAAAGAACACAAAGCGGCGTTGTGAAAATTCGCCATTGGCTTTGATAATCTGAATGGTTAGAAATGATCCAATCGCTGATGACTTTGTTTTGTATAACACCCCTCATTTTGACGTCTCCACAAACGACTTCAAAGATGGCCGTCTCAGACTGAAGTATGTAGCGAATATAGAGCAGTGGAAGAATTCAGTTTAAGTCGTCATGCAATAGGTAGTCCTGTTGACTCATCAATAATTAGTCTTCGGACTTAAAGGCACTTGACTTGGGGGAACTTTTTCAAACACAACTACTTACTCCGATCTTGTCGTCGATGAGCTGGCATGCTACCTCCATCTGTTGCGGGGTGCCTCTGATGGAGAAGACGCGAACATTGGGGTCGGTGTTGGGAGGGGGGTTCCTCTGCAGCTCCACGTGGGCTCCAGACTGCTGGTTGATGCTCTTGATGGTATCTCCGCCTGGACAAACACCACACAACATCACACCACATGAGACCACTGACGGCGGGGAATAACACATCCTTTGTCATCATTTGACAGCGCCCTTGCTGTTTTGGATGCAATAGTGTTGGGCCGATATATGATAATGTCGGGAATTGGCAATATTTGACCTCAACAATATATGGCTAAGATATCGTGATGTGCAAGATTATTCTCCATTTGAAATCCAAATCGTGCAGTTTAACTAAATTAATTAACAAGTCATTATTTTTTCACCATAACATTATTTTTAATGAGCAACTATAATATCACAAATAAGTACAAAAATAGCACAGTCTGGAATGATTTAGTCATTAGCGGCGCAAAACGATATCGGATAACCCTTTACATCTTTTGATGCTAAATTGATCAACACCTGCATTTATACACACTACATATAAAAAGGTGCATTTGTAATATTATAACTCAATGGCCGAGAGCTCTGGAGTTTGTAAGAAGGTGTATTTGAAGTATAAGGGAATGTTGTACGCTTATTAACTAAAAAAGAAAGCAAAAAAAGTATGCACCTCTCCACGTCTCAATTTTCCTTTACATCCGTGACAATGTGCGACAAAAATAGATGGCAGTTCCCACCGACCCGACATAAAGGGGGTCTGATGAGTGCCACCAGTCTATGTGCTGTCTGCAGCTCGACTTCTGTTTGTGGGGAGCAATTACATTTCAGGCCAAACAGAACCATTAAATATTAAACCGTATCCCCTTTTTTTGGGGGTTTCGCAGTCTGTGGCTCTTTTGAAGCGAGCAGGGCAGGCATTCAGAAATCAGTTCCCCCCTGTGCCAAGTCCTCTCAAAGACCCCGGACGGCCACCCGTTCCTTCCACCTCGACTCAAAAGAGCAGGCTGGCTTCTCGAGTAGGGACCGCTGATGTCCGAACATCAATTACATGTTTGTTCACTTTTGGGTGACACGTTGTCGACCCTGCTTGAACCCGGGCTGAAAAAGCCGGAGAAAAGAGTCCTCCTCCTGCTGCCAATAGACTACCCCGGGGCCATTAACCCATTGTCAACCAAATGAAACTTCTGCATTAATGAAGCCATTATGAGGTCTCCAGTCAGAAAGAGAGAGGAATAAAGACACTGACTATTCAGTGCCAAGGAGTGGGCCATGGTTAGTGGAGATAATAAGGCCCTCTCAATGATGCTGCCGGTTCAGGTTGCCAGAGACAGAGAGGGGGGATTTGGACTTAACATTCATTTATATGGGGGAGACGCAGGACCACTAAGTACCATCTCGTATATGTGAATAAGAGTTTGGAGGAGTCTACCCCACAGAATTTTGTCGTCCGACCTGTACGTTTGCGTGTGCCACGGGTGTTGTTAACTGCACCTGTTGTTCCGACGCGTAGCTTTAATGTACCTTTAATCTGTGCAGTGAAATTTCACATGTCCATATAGGTTGGAAATGAATTTATGAATGGTTTAGAGCCAGAGTTGTACGAATGCATTTTGAAAGTCAATCAAGTTGTTGGATAAACTAGCATTTCTGAAGAATTGAGTAAACAGTGTAGGTAGGTCCTTATCATGTACAGTTGAAGTCGGAAGTTTACATACACCTTAGCCAAATACATTTAAACTCAGTTTTTCACAATTCCTGACATTTAATCCTAGTAAAAATTCCCTGTCTTAGGTCAGTTAGGATCACCACTTTATTTTAAGAATGTGAAATGTCAGAATAATAGTAGAGAGAATGATATATTTTAGCTTTTATTTCTTTCATCACATTCCCAGTGGGTCAGAAGTTTACATACACTTAATTAGTACTTGGTAGCATTGCTTTTAAATTGTTTAACTTGGGTCAAACGTTTCGGGTGGCCTTCCACAAGGCTCCCACAATAAGTTGGGTGAATTTTGGCCCATTCCTCCTGACAGAGCTGGTGTAACTGAGTCAGGTTTGAAGGCCTCCTTGCTCGCACACGCTTTTTCAGTTCTGCCCACACATTTTTTATAGGATTGAGGTCAGGGGTTTGTGATGGCCACTCCAATATCTTGACTTTGTTGCCCTTAAGCCATTTTGCCACAACTTTGGAAGTATGCTTGGGGTCATTGTCCATTTGGAAGAGCCATTTGCGACCAAGATTTAACTTCCTGACTGATGTCTTGAGATGTTGCTTCAATATATCCACATAATTTTCCTTCCTCATGATGCCATCTATTTTGTGAAGTGCACCAGTCCCTCCTGCAGCAAAGCACCCCCACAGCATGATGCTGCCATCCCCGTGCTTCACGGTTGGGATGGTGTTCTTCTGCTTGCAAGCATCCCCCCTTTTCCTCCAAACATAACGATGGTCATTATGGCCAAACAGTTCTATTTTTGTTTCATCAGACCAGAGGACATTTCTCCAAAAAGTACGATCTTTGTCCCCATGTGCAGTTGCAAACCGTAGTCTGGCTTTTTTATGGCGGTTTTGGAGCAGTGGCTTCTTCCTTGCTGAACGGCCTTTCAGGTTATGTTGATATAGGACTCGTTTTATTGTGGATATAGATGTTTTTGTACCTGTTTCTTCCAGCATCGTCACAAGGTCCGTTGCTGTTGTTCTGGGATTGATTTGCACCTTTCGCACCAAAGTACGTTATTCTTTTGGAGACAGAACGCGTCTCCTTCCTGAGCGGTATGACGGCTGCGTGGTCCCATGGTGTTCATACTTGCGTACTATTGTTTGTTCAGATGAACGTGGTACCTTCAGGCGTTTGGAAATTGCTCCCAAGGATGAACCAGACTTGTGGAAGTAGATGTCCTAACAGACTTGCCAAAATTATAATTTGTTAACAAAAAAACTTGTGGAGTGGTTGAACAACGAGTTTTAATGACTCCAACCTAAGTGTATGTAAACTTACGACTTCAACTGTATGTCTCCTATCAATATTGTTGTGCAAAACACTTGCATCCATTTCCTAACATTTGAGATACCTGCTGCTAGCATTCAGTGGTACATGTAGCGGAGGGCAGAACACTGTTATGAATTAACAATTGCCACCTTGTAGGTACTTCCTAAGTCAATGATAAGAAAATACTAGTTATATATATACAGTACCAGTCGAAAAATTGGACACACCTACTCATTCAAGGGTTTTTCTTTATATTTACATTGTAGAATTATAGTAAAGACATCAAAACTATGAAATAACACATATGGAATCATGTAGTAAGCAAAAAAGTGTTAAACAAATCAAAATATACTTTATATTTAAGATTCTTCAAATAGCCACCCTTTGCCTTGATGACAGCTTTGCACACTTGGCATTCTCTCAACCAGCTTCATGAGGTAGTCACCTGGAATGCATTTCAATTAACAGATGTGCTTACTCAAAAGTTAATTTGTGGAATTTCTTTCCTTCTTAATGCGTTTGAGCCAATCAGTTGTGTTGTGACAAGGTAGGGGGGTATACAGAAGATAAGTCCATATTACGGCAAGAACAGCTCAAATAAGCAAAGAGAAACGACATCATTACTTTAAGACATGAAGGTCAGTCAATATGGAACATTTCAAGAACTTTTAAAGTTTCTTCAAGTGCAGTTGCAAAAACCATCAAGCGCTATGATGAAACTGGCTCTCATGAGGACCGCACACAGGAATGGAAGACCCAGAGTTACCTCTGCTGCAGAGGATAAGTTCAAGCCTCAGAAATTGCAGCCCAAATAAATGCTTCACAGAGTTCAAGTAACAGACACGTCAACATCAACTGTTCAGAGGAGACCGTGTGAATCAGGCCTTCATGGTCGAATGTCTGCAAAGAAACCACTACTAAAGGACACCATTAAGAAGAAGAGACCTGCTTGGGCCAAGAAACACGAGCAATGGACAGTAGACCGGTGGAAATTTGTCCTTTGGTCTGGAGTCCAAATTGGAGATTTTTGGTTCTAACCACAGTGTCTTTGTGAGATGCGGTGTGGGTGAACGGATGATCTCCGCATGTGTAGTTCCCACTGTAAAGCATCGAGGAGGTGGTGTTATGGTGTGGGGGTGCTTTGCTGGTGACACTGTCTGTGATTTATTTAGAATTTAAGGCACACTTAACGAGCATGGCTACCACAGCATTCTGCAGCGATACGCCATCGCATCTGGTTTGGGCTTAGTGAGACTATCATTTGTTTTTCAACAGGACAATGACCCAACACACCTCCAGGCTGTGTAAGGGCTATTTTACCAAGAAGGAGAGTGATGGAGTGCTGCATCAGATGACCTGTCCTCCACAATCCCGACCTCAACCCAATTGAGATGGTTTGGGATGAGTTGGACCGCAGAGTGAAGGAAAAGCAGCAAACAAGTGCTCAGCATATGTGGGAAGTCCTTCAAGACTGTTGGAAAAGCATTCCAGGTGAAGCTGGTTGAGAGAATGCCAAGAGTCTGCAAAGCAGTCATCAAGGCAAAGGGTGGCTATTTGAAGAATGTCAACTATAAAATATTTTTCGATTTGTTTAACACTTTTTTGCTTACTACATGATTCCATATGTGTTATTTCATAGTTTTGTGGGCTTCACTATTATTCTACAATGTAGAAAATAGTAAAAATAAAGAAAAACCCTTGAATGAGTAGATGTGTCCAAACTTTTTGGCTAAGGTGTATGTAAACTTCTGACTTCAACTGTGTGTATATATATATATATATTTCTCTGACTAACAATCTATGCACCATTTTGAGGAATTACGTACAGTATTGTTCCATCGCCATGGCCATATATTACACCATGGGGCTAGGAAGGAACATGGCTAGTTGCTTTGGTTGTCCCCTTCTTCTCACTAGGGTTGGGGTGGAATTCAGGGGTTTGTGGGGGATGTAGGTCTGACAGAGGGGTGAGTAGAGGCACTGGCTGCATGTGGCATCGTAAAGACATTAATCACTGTGGCGAAAAGGGTGTCGTGACAGGGCCCAGACCGGCTGCCTTCCATCCATATTGGCCGTTTCTTATGGTAATGCCAGGATGGGGCCCTCTGCAACCAGGTTTATTTGTCCCATTCACCTCTGCACAGAAGGCACTTGACATTTCTATTGCTCAGTTCTTTATTATAGGTGAAGCCCCCCCCCTTCAACCGACCCACCCTAAACACAAATACCCCCGCCGCGGCTTGCACACTCGCGGCTCGACAAATCGCTAAATGGTCAATGACTTTTAAATAGCAGGCAATAGAGTGAGCATGAATAGCAAATAAGCTAATTCGACACCGTCATTCCCTCATTCGAGTCCATTGCCTGGAAAACGGCTCTCATTAGAAGGACAGAGGCAATCTTCCAGATGATTGAGGGCTGTTATTATGAGACTCAAACAATTAATGTCACATTACTTTACATGCATTATTCCCCTCATTAAGCACTTTACGTAGGCACAGAATGGGACTTTTAAAAGCCATATATATACACGAGTGCAGGGGGAGAGGGTGAGAGACAAAGGGAGAGAGAGACTCCAAGGCCACCCAGGTGCTTCTGGCACATTCGAGAAACTTAGTGACTTTCATTATAAGAAATCCGATGAAAAACAAATATGCACATTGCGAAAGGGATTATTAACATAACTAGAAAAGTATATTTCCTGAAGAGAATGTGGTGTGCATGCTAGCTTGTGAAGGATTGATTGATTGTTAGGATAGCCTGAACATATGAAAGTTGGTTTGGTGTCTCTAGCTTGAACGGGTCAAGAGTTACTGTTGGTGGGTTATTTAATGAAAATGTATTATACTGAACAAAAATATAAACGCAACATGTAAAGTGTTGGTCCCATGTTTCATGAGCTGAAATAAAAAATCCCAGAAATGTTCCATAAGAACAAAACGCTTATCTAAAATGTTGTGCACACATTTGTTCACATCCCTGTTAGTGAGTATTTCTCCTTTGCCAAGATAATCCATCCACCTGACAGGTGTGTCATATCAAGAAGCTGATTAAACAGCATGATCATTACACAGGTGCACCTTGTGCTGGGGACAATAAAATGCCCCTCTAAAATGTGCAGTTTTGTCACACAACACAATGCCACAGATGTCTCAAGTTTTGAGGGAGCGTGCAATTGGTGAGGGAGCCTGGCTCCCCAGTGGGCCAATAACTTCCCAGGCCCACCCATGGCTGCACCCCTGCCCAGTCATGTGAAATCCATAGATTAGGGCCTAATGAATTTATTTAAATTTACTGACTTCCTTATATGAACTGTAACTCAGTAAAATCGTTGATATTCTTGCATGTTGCGTTTATATTAAGTATAGTTATAGTTGATCAAAGTTTTTAAGAACTTTAAGTTAGGATTTGGTGTCTCTAGCTTGAACGGTTCAAGAGTTACTGTTGGTGGGTTAATTTATGCAAATGTATTTCAGACTCCTTGACTTTTTCCACATTTTGTTATGTTACACCCTTATTCTAAAATGGACAACATAATTTTTTCGCCTTATCTATCTACACACAATACCCCATAATGACAAAGCAAAAACAGTTTTTTATTAATTTTTGCAAATTTATTAAAAATAAAAAACAGAAATACCTTATTTACATAAGTATTCAGACCCTTTGCTATGACACTCGAAATTGAGCTCAGGTGCATCCTGTTTCCATTGATCATCCTTGAGATGTTTCTACAACTTGATTGGAGTCCACCTGTGGTAAATTCAATTAATTGGACATGATTGGAAAGGCACACACCTGTCTATGTAAGGTCCCACAGTTGACAGTGCATGTTAGACCAAAAACCAAGCCATAAGGTCGAAGGAATTGTCCGTAGCGCTCCGAGGCACAGATCTGGGGAAGGGTACCAAAAAATGCAGCATTGAATGTCCCCAAGAACACAGTGGCTTCCATCATTCTTAAATGGAAGAAGTTTGGAACCACCAAGATTCTTCCTAGAGCTGGCCGCCCAGCCAAACTGAGCAATCGGGGGAGAAGGGCCTTGGTCAGGGAGGTGAACAAGAACCCGATTGCCACTCTGACAGAGCTCCAGAGTTCCTCTGTGGAGATGAAGAACCTTCCAGAAAGACAGCCATCTCTGCAGCACTACACGAATTAGGCGTTTATGGTAGAGTGGCCAGATGGGAGCCACTCCTCAGTAAAAGGCACATGACAGCCCGCTTGGAGTTTGCCAAAAGGCACCTAAAAGACTCTCAGACCATGAGAAACAAGATTCTCTGGTCTGATGAAACCAAGATTGAACTCTTTGGCCTGAAGGCTAAGCGTCACATTGAGAGGAAACCTGGCACCATGCCTACGGTGAAGCATGGTGGTGGCAGCATCATGCTGTGGGGATGTTTTTCAGCGGCAGGGACTGGGAGACTAGTCAGGATCGAGGGAAAGATTAATGGAGCAAAGTAAAGTGAGATCCTTGATGAAAACCTGTTCCAGAGCGCTCAGAAGGTTCACTTCTCAACAGGACAATGACCCTAAGCACACAGCCAAGACAACGCAGGAGTGGCTTCGGGACAAGTCTCTGAATGTCCTTGAGTGGCCCAGCCAGAGCCCGGACTTGAACCCAATTGAACATCTCTGAAGAGACCTGACAATCGCTGTGCAGCGACACTCCCCATCCAACCTGACAGAGCTTGAGAGGATCTGCAGAGAAGAATGGGAGAAACTCCCCAAATACAGGTGTGCCAAGCTTGTAGCGTCATACCCAAGAAGACACAAGGCTGTAATCTCTGCTAAAGGTGCTTCAACAAAGTACTGAGTAAAGGGTCTGACTACTTATTTAAATTTCCGTTATAAAAATCAGTTTTTGCTTTGTCATTATGGGGTATTGTGTGTAGATTGATGAGGGGAAAAAACAATTTCATCCATTTTAGAATAAGGCTGTAACGTAACAAAATGTGGAAAAAGTCAAGGGGTCTGAATACTTTCAAAATGCACTGTACACTTGTGTTTGTAGCTCTGAGGTTCTACGCTGCTTTGTGCGTAGAACTGAGTCGCCTTACCTTTGCCGATCACCAGACCACACTTGTCTGCAGGTATCGTGTAGGTGACCTCCTGCAGCCCCCCTGGTGAGCCCATGCCCCAGTGGCCTCGTCCCCTTCCTCTTGGTCCTCCAGAGCTCCCAAAGTCATCACGCTCCTGCTCCAATTAAACATAAGATAATGACGTTATTATCCCCATGGGGAAATTTTGTTTGTGGCATACATTAAAACAAATCATCAAGCATAGACAAATGGACAAATCAAGACAATTACAGACAATAAATACAATGAGAATAGAGTGCAGTGATACATAATGATACAACATTAAATTAAAACATTTAAATACAGCAAAGAGTAGACACTCACCAGCTAGTACAGATAGTATACTCTGTGTGCTTAACCCAAGCATGGAGCGGCATTTATTGACAATGTCCTACTGATATGACATTACAAAGCAAATATTCTAATAAATGTGATACAATATCGTATAAACCCTGATATCGTCTGCGCCTACAAAGTCAACCAAAGGAATGACATACACTACCAGTCGAAAGTTTGGACACACCTACTCATTCAAGGGTTTTTCTTTATTTTTACATTGTAGAATAATAGACATCAAAACTATGAAATAACACATATGGAATCATGTAGTAACCAAAAAAGTGTTAAACAAATCAAAATATATTATATATTTGAGATTCTTCAAAGTAGCCACCCTTTGCCTTGATGACAGCTTTGCACACTCTTGGCATTCTCTCAACCAGCTTCATGAGGGATGCTTTTCCAAGTCTTGAAGGAGTTCCCACATATGCTGACCACTTGCTGGCTGCTTTTCCTTCACTGTGCTGTCCAACTCATCCCAAACCATCTCAATTGGGTTGATTTCGTGTGATTGTGGAGTCCAGGTCATCTGATACATCACTCCATCACTCTCCTTGGTCAAATAGCCCTTACACAGCCTGGAGGTGTGTTTTGGGTCATTGTCCTGCTGAAAAAAAAATTATAGTCCCACTAAGCGCAAACCAGATGGGATGGCGTATCGCTGCAGAATGCTGTGGTAGCCATGCTGGTTAAGTGTGCCTTGAATTCTAAATAAATCCCAGACAGTGTCACCAGCAAAGGACCCCCACACCATCACACCTCCTCCTCCATTACCACTACTAAAGGATACTGAAGAGACTTGCTTGGGCCAAGAAACACGAGCAATGGACATTAGACCAGTGGAAATTTGTCCTTTGGTCTGGAGTCCAAATTTGAGATTTTTGGTTCCAACCGCCGTGTCTTTGTGAGACGCGGTGTGGGTGAACGGATGATCGCCGCATGAGTATTTCCCACCGTAAAGCATGGAGCAGGTGTTATGGTGTGTGGGCAATCAATCAATCAGATTCCAAAATCTACACCATGGCCAAGACCAAAGAGCTCTCCAAGGATGTCAGGGACAAGATTGTAGACCTACAAAAGGCTGGAATAGGCTACAAGACCATCGCCAAGCAGCTTGGTGAGAAGGTGACAACAGTTGGTGCAATTATTCGTAAATGGAAGAAACACAAAAGAACTGTCAATCTCCCTCGGCCTGGGGCTCCATGCAAGATCTCACCTCGTAGAGTTGCAATGATCGTGAGAACGGTGAGGTTCTCAGTGAGTCTTTGTCAGTGGGCAAACGTACAAAATCAGCAGGGGATCAAATACTTTTTCCCCCTCAATGTACATATTACCTCAATTACCTCGATTAGACGGTGCCCCCACACATTGACTCTGTACCGGTACCCCCCTGTATATATCCTCCCTACTGTTATTTTATTTTACTGCTGCTCTTTAGTTATTTGCTTTTATTTTTTACTTATCTATTTTTTACTTAACACTTAAACAAATGTTTTTTGATGAAACTGCATTGTTGGTTAAGGGCTTGTAAGTAAGCATTTCACTGTAATGTCTACACCTGTTGTATTCGGCACATGTGACAAATAACATTTGATTTGATTTGGTTTAACACTTTTTTGGTTACTACATGATTCCATATCTGTTATTTCACAGTTTTGATGTCTTCACTATTATTCTACAATGTAGAAAATAGTAAAAATAAAGAAAAACCATAGAATGAGTAGGTGTGTCCAAACTTTTGACTGGTACTGTATCTGTAAACTGTCTTTTACTAGGAGTTGCAGTTTTTATTTGCAGATCTAAGCAATACACGCCGGGAGACTCCAGCGCCATAGGCCGAGTCCCAAATGGCATCCTATTCCCTACATAGTGCACTATGTGGGAAATAGGGTGCCATTGGGACGCAACCATTGGTCAAGAGGCAGCTTGGTGGGAAATAAATTGACTGGGAAATAAGTATCACAAGTGGTACGTGTGCTTGCTTGGCACATGAGGTTTGTGTTCTGTACCGAGTGTGTGTGTTTGCTAGCTGTGATGCGTTTGTGTGTGCACGCTACTTGTGTGGAATGTGTGTGTTCTGTGCAGTGTGTGTGTGTTCCTTGCTCTGAGTGTTTACTTGGGAGGTATTCGTTATTTCTGTCTCTGTGTGTGTGTTTGTGTACCTGGGCTGTTTGGATGAGCTCGTTGATGAGATGGACAGCGTGCTGACATCTGTCTGGTTGTCCCATCACTTGGGCGATGCGCTCTGGGCTGATGCCATCATCTGGTGGTGGGAGGAGGGAGCAGGGTCAGGGAAGGCAAGTCAACACTAAGCTAACAGTGGTGACTGACAGCAGATACAGCCATACACCAACACACAGAAGCACATATGTGACCCATTCCAGGAAACTAGGCTTATGTCGCGGGTCACTACTTCACAGGAGAGCCGTTTTAAATGCGCTTTTTGGCAGAAATGCCTTCTCGAACATGTGAACTTTCATGTTCCTTAATAACAAACTTGTATTCCATCTGGAAATACAAATACAATTGTTAAATTACGAGCTTAGTTGGTTTAGCCAAAGAAAAAGACAGCAACCTTCCCGCTAGCCATGATTGGCTTAGATAATGAGTAGGCTGGACATGCTGAGAGATGAGTTTGGATTGGTCTGCCATATAGCACGCTTCTGTCTATTTGAGCTGGTCAGTATGTTTAGGTAATCCTGTCTAACATGTTTTTTTGTTTTTTATGTATCGTGTATTAAAACTGCATAAGTGTTGCTCTCCACTTTCTGGAGGACCAAGTTTTGAAATCAGTAGAATTCGAGTATGATAGCTAAAGAGATGGAGAAAACACGTCTCCGGATTACATCTTCAAACTAAGGGCAACCATGGCATCCGACAGGAGACGCGTCCATCCATGAATGATGTATACGGGTAAGATAGTCTAGCTAGCTACATTTTCAGATATTATACGTTTCTAATTTTGACAGAAAGAGCCATTTGCTTGGCTAGCTACAGCCTAATGTTAGCTAGCTAACATTGAACATGGTTGGTTAGCTACCTGCAGATTCATGCAAGGTAGTAACGTCATGAGTTGTGATTATGATTCATTGTTTACCTAGCTAGCTAGCTAACGTTAGCTGGCTGGCTCGCTAGCTAACGTTACGTGTATGACCTTATTATTCGTATCTCAGAGCCATTTGCAGTCACCAACGCTCTGGATAACATAACAGCCTAACCAGCTCTGCTTGGGCGAGTAATGTTCAGTGAGCAAGTTAGCTTGAGTGCTTGACTACTGTTGTTAGTACAGAACGCTAGGATCAACCCATAAAGACATGGGTGGGGCTAAAGCTTAAGAGGGTGTGAACAATGCTGAATGGGTGTACACAAAGAAGGGCTCTCCAGTAGTAGTACCAAAAGATTCAAAGGCCATTTTCTCAAAGGTGAGTTTACAAGTTTATCAACTTTCAAAGAAAATGTACTTTCCCATTGTTACTCAAACGTAGTGTATGATATACCATTTTGTAGCTCTGAGTCTCTACTTTTATCCAATGTAAAAATCAGAATTTCAAATTCTGCTACATCAGACCGATTTGAGCCAGTCGGTCACATACAGTTGAAGTCAGAAGTTTGCATACACTTAGGTTGGAGTCATTAAAACTTGTTTTTCAACCACTACACAAATGTATTGTTAACAAACTATAGTTTTAGCAAGTCGGTTAGGACATCTACTTTGTGCATGACACAAGTAATTTTTCCAACCATTTTTTACAGACAGATTATTTCACTTATAATTCACTGTATCACAATTCCAGAGGGTCAGAAGTTTACATACACTAAGTTGACTATGCCTTTAAACAGCTTGGAAAATTCCAGAAAATTATGTCATTGCTTTAGAAGCTTCTGATAGGCTAATTGACATCATTTGAGTCAATTGGAGGTGTACCTGTGGATGTATTTCAAGGCATACCTTCAAACTCTGTGCCTCTTTGCTTGACATCATGGGAAAATCAAAAGAAATCAGCCAAGACCTAAGAAAAAGAATTGTAGACATCCACAAGTCTGGTTCATCATTGGGAGCAGATCAATCTCAGAACAACAGCAAAGGACCTTGTGAAGATGCTGGAGGAAACAGGTACAAAAGTACCTATATCCACAGTAAAACAAGTCCTATATCGACATAACCTGAAAGGCCGCTCAGCAAGGAAGAAGCCACTGCTCCAAAACCGCCATAAAAAAGCCAGACCACGGTATGCAACTGCACATGGGGACAAAGATCGTACTTTTTGGAGAAATGTCCTCTGGTCTGATGAAACAAAAATAGAACTGTTTGGCCATTATGACCATCGTTATGTTTGGAGGAAAAAGGGTAAGGCTTGCAAGCTGAAGAACACCATCCCAACTGTGAAGGACGGGGGTGGCTGCATCATGCTGTGGGGGTGCTTTGCTGCAGGAGGGACTGGTGCACTTGAGGAAGGAAAATTGGCATCATGAGGAAGGAAAATTATGTGGATATATTGAAGCAACATCTCAAGACATCAGTCAGGAAGTTAAAGCTTGGTCGCAAATGAGTCTTCGAAATGGACAATGACCCCATGCATACTTCCAAAGTTGTGGCAAAATGGCTTAAGGACAACAAAGTCAAGGTATTGGAGTGGCCATCACCTCAATCCTATAGAAAACTTGTGGGCAGAACTGAAAAAGGAGGCCTACAAACCTGACTCAGTTACACCAGCTCTGTCAGGAGGAATGGGCCAAAATTCACCCAACTTATTGTGGGAAGCTTGTGGAAGGCTACCCGAAACGTTTGACCCAAGTTAAACAATTTAAAGGCAATGCTACCAAATACTAATTGAGTGTATGTAAACTTCTGACCCACTGGGAATGTAATGAAAGAAATAAAAGCTGAAATAAATAATTCTCTATACTATTATTCTGACATTTCACATTCTTCAAATAAAGTGGTGATCATAACTGACCTAAGACAGGGAATTCTTACTAGTATTAAATGTCAGGAATTGTGAAAAACTGAGTTTAAATGTATTTGGCTAAGGCGTATGTAAACTTCCGACTTCAACTGTATATACTTATGGTACGATAAGAGACAGGGCATATTGCATTCCCCCAATATAATTCCAACTCTACAGAGAAAAGAAACCCTCGTCCATATGACACATCTGACATACGTTAAAAGAAACACACACACCTGGTTTGAATTGGATCCTCACTCCGGAATCACCCTGAATCTTCTTGATCATCTCGCCACTCCTGCCGATGACGATCCCCACTGCAAACCTGGGCACAGCCACCTGAAGGGAGGGATTGGCCTGAAGCATGTGAGCTCAAACATTAAGGGTGTGTTCAAAATGGGTTGTGACATTCACTGGACGTCCTGCACATTGTATTCTTACATCCAAAGTACTTCCACCCAATCTTGACGCAAAGTCGTTGCGGCCACTGTGGAAGTCTCCCTGGTCTTTGTCGCGGATGATCTCGATCACCAACTCCCGCGCTTGCTGTGAAGGGGAGAAGAAAAAGGGGATTCACATGACGGTACATCCCAGAGTGACTGAGATGCCATAACGGGACCTATGAAGAGTAACCACCTAATGCGTTTTTTCAATGTGCAAAATGATCTGTATCACTAATCAGAAAGTCTAAATAATCGTCAACAGAAAGACCCACTGGAATGTAGGATTTCTGCAAATAATTATTGTTGAAGGTGTGTGTGTCTGTGTGCACTGTGGCTGTCGACCGAAGCCACACTCTTCACTCACCTGGACCTTGTAGGGATCCCCAGTGATTCTCAGGGGTTTGTCCACCCCAGTGGGCATGGGGCCGTCCTGGATCATCATCATCTTCACTCCTATTCTCTCCTAAGAAACATCACACACACACACACACAGTGAATTAATGTGAATGTGTTGTGCAAGTCGTTTTCCTCTCAGTTAGCTGAACGCATCGCTTAGTTCATAGAACTGTGGTTACACGCGTAACCATCCTGGGACAAACAGAGCCGTTTCAGTGTGGAATCTTGAAATTGTCTCTAGCTTTTGAACATTTGGAGCTATTATCTATTATGACCCCATTCCTGAAAGCTTAAGACTTTCACGTCCATGTCTTCCATTTCCCTCTATGACACTCACAAGCCGCGCAGGGCTCGTTAGAAGGGAGTGTCACAAATCCGCACAGAATGACTGGGGAAAATCTATTGATTCTCCAAAGAACATCACATCATACACAAAGATTGTTTGATCCCTGATGTTTTCCTAAACTTTCCAAAAACCTTCTGACGCATTTTAATCATTTCAAAGCATACTTCCTTCAGACAGAAATGTAGCATTACCTGATTTGATATAGCTTTGTGTTATTTATCACTTTTAATGAGATAATGCCAAAAAGCCCAGCTTCAAAACAAACATCAAATCATTTTTACACATTTATTTCTGATACCCCAAGTATCCTAACATAGAAAATTGAATAGCTTGATGGTCCATGTTAATACTACAGTGGGGGAAAAAAAGTATTTAGTCAGCCACCAATTGTGCAAGTTCTCCCACTTAAAAAGATGAGGCCTGTAATTTTCATCATAGGTACACATCAACTATGACAGACAAAATGAGAAGAAAAAAATCCAGAAAATCACATTGTAGGATTTTTAATGAATTTCTTTGCAAATTATGGTGGAAAATAAGTATTTGGTCAATAACAAAAGTTTCTCAATAATTTGTTATATACCCTTTGTTGGCAATGACACAGGTCAAACGTTTTCTGTAAGTCTTCACAAGGTTTTCACACACTGTTGCTGGTATTTTGGCCCATTCCTCCATGCAGATCTCCTCTAGAGCAGTGATGTTTTGGGGCTGTCGCTGGGCAACACGGACTTTCAACTCCCTCCAAAGATTTTCTATGGGGTTGAGATCTGGAGACTGGCTAGGCCACTCCAGGACCTTGAAATGCTTCTTACGAAGCCACTCCTTCGTTGCCCGGGCGGTGTGTTTGGGATCATTGTCATGCTGAAAGACCCAGCCACGTTTCATCTTCAATGCCCTTGCTGATGGAAGGAGGTTTTCACTCAAAATCTCACGATACATGGCCCCATTCATTCTTTCCTTCACACGGATCAGTCGTCCTGGTCCCTTTGCAGAAAAACAGCCCCAAAGCATGATGTTTCCACCCCCATGCTTCACAGTAGGTATGGTGTTCTTTGGATGCAACTCAGCATTTTTTGTCCTCCAAACACGACGAGTTGAGTTTTTACCAAAAAGTTCTATTTTGGTTTCATCTGACCATATGACATTCTCCCAATCCTCTTCTGGATCATCCAAATGCACTCTAGCAAACTTCAGACGGGCCTGGACATGTACTGGCTTAAGCAGGGGGACACGTCTGGCACTGCAGGATTTGAGTCCCTGGCGGCGTAGTGTGTTACTGATGGTAGGCTTTGTTACTTTGGTCCCAGCTCTCTGCAGGTCATTCACTAGGTCCCCCCGTGTGGTTCTGGGATTTTTGCTCACCGTTCTTGTGATCATTTTGACCCCACGGGGTGAGATCTTGCGTGGAGCCCCAGATCAAGGGAGATTATCAGTGGTCTTGTATGTCTTCCATTTCCTAATAATTGCTCCCACGGTTCATTTCTTCAAACCAAGCTGCTTACCTATTGCAGATTCAGTCTTCCCAGCCTGGTGCAGGTCTACAATTTTGTTTCTGGTGTCCTTTGACAGCTCTTTGGTCTTGGCCATAGTGGAGTTTGGAGTGTGACTGTTTGAGGTTGTGGACAGGTGTCTTTTATACTGATAACAAGTTCAAACAGGTGCCATTAATACAGGTAACGAGTGGAGGACAGAGGAGCCTCTTAAAGAAGAAGTTACAGGTCTGTGAGAGCCAGACATCTTGCTTGTTTGTAGGTGACCAAATACTTATTTTCCACCATAATTTGCAAATAAATTCATTAAAAATCCTACAATGTGATTTTCTGGATTTTTTTTTCTCAATTTGTCTGTCATAGTTGACGTGTACCTATGATGAAAATTACAGGCCTCTCTCATCTTTTTAAGTGGGAGAACTTGCACAATTGGTGGCTGACTAAATACTTTTTTCCCCCACTGTATCTTAAAACAAATCTACGTGTTACTGCACCTGTACACAGCCATTCTGAAATTAGCCCACCCAATTACCTCATCTCCATATTGTTATTTATTTTGCTAATTTGCACCCCAGTATCTCTATTTGCACATCATTCCAGTGTTAATACGAAATTGTAACTATTTTGCACTATGGCCTATTTATTGCCTTACCTCCATAACTTACTACATTTACACACACTGTATATATACTTGTGTTTCGTTTACCCCATATGTAACTCTGTGTTGTTGTTTTTATCGCACTGCTTTGCTTTATCTTGGCCAGGTCGCAGTTGTAAATGAGAAGTTGTCCTCAACTGGCTTACCTGGTTAAATAAAGGTGAAATAAAATAATAAAAAAATAATAAAAAGGGCAGTAAATATCATACAGAAAACACTTTTTTAAATATAGTTCATATGGCTAAACATCTCTTGCAGGTACAACATTTTCTATTGTAACAATAAGCTTTGCAAGTTGAAAAAGGTTAGCCTGGAGCCCTGACTGCTGCTGGTTTTAGATCTGCCTGACTGAATGAATCAAACCTCTTCTTCTTAGGGAAGCCTATATGAACCTGATAATTATTGCTTTGAAAGCCTAACCATCATCTCAAAAAATATGTTTCCATGAAATGTCCACTTTGCATGAATTAGGCCTGCTATCCACAATGGGTAACACTGTTCCTTTTTAAAGGAGAATGTGATATCATGTATGAATCAATTTGCATTTGTAACCTCCCCAACCCACCTTCTCCGATGGGTATGGCGGCTCGCACCCAGTTAGGTAGTTTCACAAAAGTGCTTGCCTTAGAAATATTAGTAACTACGACTGACGCAGTGACGCTGTAAGTAGGGTGAGAATGGAGAAACAAATCCTGTGCTAACAAGCCTCGTGGGTTTTGTGTTAATCCATACGAGCGAGATAAGGAAAATGGTGAACATGGTACAGGGAACTGCCAAAATAATGGCTGGAGTCTTTGACCATTTTTAGGGCTTCCTCTGACACCGCCTGGTATAGAGGTCCTGGATGGCAGGAAGCTTGGCACCAGTGATGTACTGGCCATATGCACTACCCTCTGTAGTGCCTTGCGGTCGGAGGCCGAGCAGTTGCCATACCAGGCAGTGATGCAACCAGTCAGGATGCTCTCGATGGTGCAGCTGTAGAACCTTTTGAGGATCTTAGGACCCATGGCAAATATTTTCTGTCTCCTTATGGGGAATAGGTTTTGTCGTGCCCTCTTCACAACTGTCTTGGTGTGCTTGGACCATGTTAGTTTGTTTGTGGACACCAAGGAATGTGAAGCTTTCAAGCTGCTCCACTACAGCCCCGTTGATGAGAATGGGGATGTGCTCGGTCCTCTTCTTTTTCCTGTAGTCCACAATCATCTCCTTTGTCTTGATCACGTTGAGGAGGAGGTTGTTGTCCTGGCACCACATGGCCAGGTCTCTGACCTCCTCCCTATAGGCTGTCTCGTCGTTGTCGGTGATCAGGCCTACCATTGTTGTGTCATCTGCAAACGTAATGATGGTGTTGGAGTCGTGCCTGGCCATGCAGTCATGAGTGAACACGGACTACAGGAGGGGACTGAGCACGCACCCCTGAGGGGCCCCCGTGTTGAGGATCAGCGTGGCGGATATGTTGTTACCTACCTTTACCACCTGGGGGCGGCCCGTCAGGAAGTCCAGGATCCAGTTGCAGAGGGAGGTGTTTAGTCCCAGGGTCCTTAGCTTACTGATCAACTTTGAGGGCACTATGGTGTTGAACGCTGAGTTGAAGTCAATGAATAGCATTCTCATATAGGTGTTCCTTTTGTCCAGGTGTGAAAGGGCAGTGTGAGCGCAATAAAGATTGCATAATCTGTGGATCTGTTGGGGCGGTATACAAATTGGAGTGGGTCTAGGGTTTCTGGGATAATGGTGTTGATGTGAGCCATGACCAGCCTTTCAAAGCACTTCATGGCTACAGACGTGAGTGCTACGGTTCTGTAGTCATTTAGGCAGGTTACCTTAGTGTTCTTGGACACAGGGATCATGGTGGTCTGCTTGAAACATGTTGGTTTTACAGACTCAGACAGGGAGAGGTTGAATATGTCAGTGAAGACACTTGCCAGTTGGTCAGCGCATGCTCGGAGTACACGTCCTAGCAATCCGTCTGGCCCTGCGGCCTTGTGAATGTTGACCTATTTAAAGGTCTTACTCACGTCGGCTACGGAGAGCGTGATCACACAGTCGTCTTGAACAGCTGATGCTCTCATGCATGTTTCAGTGTTACTTGCCTCGAAGCGAGCATAGAAGTAATTTAGCTTGTCTGGTAGGCTCATGTTACTGGGCAGCTCGCGGCTGTGCTTCCCTTTGTAGTCTGTAATAGTTTGCAAGCCCTGCCACATCCGACGAGCGTCGGAGCCGGTGTAGTACGATTCGATCTTAGTCCTGTATTGACGCTTTGCCTGTTTGATGGTTCGTCGGAGGGCGTAGCGGGATTCCCGCTCTTTGAAAGCGGCTGCTCTACCCTTTAGCTCAGTTCGGATGTTGCCTGTAATCCATGGCTTCTGGTTGGGGTATGTACGTACAGTCACTGTGGGGACGACGTCATCGATGCACTTATTGATGAAGCCAGTGACTGATGTGGTGTACTCCTCAATGCCATCGGAAGAATCCCGTAACATATTCCAGTCTGTGCTAGCAAAACAGTCCTGTAGTTTAGCATCTGCTTCATCTGACCACTTTTTTATTGACCGAGTCACTGGTGCTTACTG